CTGCACTTATTGGTACATGGGTTCTCTCTCCAATAACAGCCGCAAGTTGGCCAATTTTGCTGGTTTCTACAAGGGCATCCAGTCTGCTGGCGCTGCTGGAATGTGGAGGTAAGCAACCCCTGCTCTTTTTCTTCCCTCTGCCCTTTCTGTAACTAACAAACGCTTAGCCTGGATGCACAGGAGACCGCATACATGACCGAATTCGCCTCTTGCTGGGGTATTCTCGTCGGTAGTATGCTTTTTGCCTCTCCTGTGATTTTTTTCAAGGTCAAGGACAGCACTGCCGTCGAGGACGATCTGCGATTCTCCGACGAAACCGCCACCGAAGTCCTGGGCCATACCAATGAAATGATTGAGATGGATAAGCCTCATACCGAAACCCACACTCCTACTGAGACTCTCCGCGACCCTCACGAGGAGACTACCACCAAATAATGGATTGTCGAGGGGCTCAATCCCCGCCGATGATATGTATCACCACGCGATTAATATTTAATTTAATCACCTCCTTTATTCTCACTACATTGTGACGAAATACCTGCATTTACGAGGCGTGCCGGCTTTTTTTTTTTTTTTTCTTTCATACTCGCGAAAAGCCCGGTCCCCAACTGCGCCACGGGTCGTGAGGACCGTACTCAACGAATACTTAATATGTCAGTCAATTCCGTTTTCTTTAATGATCTTGTACATTATTCGGGGTGGCTCTACTTTTCTAGGCGCCAGTGGCTCTCATTCGGGAGGGTACCCGTTAGGTCTGCTATGGTTATGGTAAATGTGTACATAATGTAAATCTCAAACCGCAATGCTTTTGAATATTGATAATATTCACTCAGGTCCACCCATAGACCTCACTCAATGTAACTCACCAAACCTAACAGCCTTGGTAGCCGTAGGCAACGGCACTGAAGACTGGGTATGAGTCGCCGACTTGGGCCCTGTTGAGCCAGAATTCTGCTTCAACCTCTTTTCTCCGTTGGGCAATTCCCACCCATTTAGTGTACGGTTAAACAGCTGCAATGCAGCCTCTGGCTGATAGTACGGCACCTCATGACCAGCCTCATAGACACGAGTGAAAGAGAAATTACCATATTCCCTCGTCTCGCCATACTCGATACCATCGACGAGGAAGGGCGCATAGCCCGCCTTCTGGAACTGCTTGCTGTGCTTGTATTTTGCCGCGAGTGAGATGGCCTCGCCGCCGAACCAGTTGCAGATGTAATCCGCATCGCCGTAGATGAGGGCGACGCGGACGGGGCGGGAGAGGATGTCTTCCAGGTCTTCGAGGAAGTTGGGCCAGACAAAGTCGCCGGTTTGCTGGAAGGCAAAGTAGACTTCGTTGTTGGATTGCGTGTAGTTTACATCGACGCCTAGGGCGTTCATTACCGAGTCCTTGGCGAGGTAGTTTTGGTAGTAGCTTTCTGGGGTTGGGTCGTCGCTTGGATGGCGGATGTCGTAGGTACCTCGGCCGCTAAACATGTAGTATGGGCTCTCTGGGATTAGGGAATTTTGTCAGTTATTTTGCGTAGATGTTATATGTAGAGGGTATATATGGGCACGGTCTACATACCGACGTTGTCTCGACACATGTTAGCTGCCTCGGCGCAAAGTGCGAGGTCGGATACCGAAGTGCGGTTGGTAAGCTTGCAGGTTGCGATTTGGTCCTGACAGCCGTTTGGCATTTCATTGGCAAATTTCATGTAGTTGTAAACTGTCTCATTGATCTATATTCTTTGTTAGCATGGAACTATATCATGGTACCTTTTCAAGACTTACGGCCTTGATGCCATAGCTGTTGTTCACGGCAAATTCAGGGTAGTGTTTGGCTTGAATTCCTTCATCGATGATACCATTGATGATCCCCAAGGTGTTGAAGTCGAGTTGAATGCCATCCTGGGTGCCGTTGGCAATCTTAAGGTTCTCTTCATAGAAGTGATCGAAGAACTTGCCAGTGTTAGAACTTCAACGGATCTAATATTGAGTTAAACAGGCGGTTGACTTACGGCAGGGCCATAATGTCTAAACGAAGTCAGTAATCAGATACATCAACAGATATTTCAGAAACAGAGTGAACTCACCCTCCATAGCTTTCGGTCCATAGATTGAAGCTCTTCGACTTGATCTTCGAGTCCAGCTTGGGGAGACCACCTAGGAATCCCTGCAGGACTTCCCAGGTAGCTTTGGCAGCAAGTACCGTTGTATCAACTGCGGTAGCGTTGATAACTGGATAGCGACCATCGATGCCTGCAAATGATGGGTCTTCATATGAACCCGTGATAGGGTTCAGGGTGCCGGCCGCTTTCTCGGCGTAGGAGAAACCTGTGATTATATTAGTTCGATGGTTAGAAAGAAAGTAGAAAATTGAAAGATGTTCATACCAACACCCAGTGGCTGAGAGAGGAATAGCATATTTGAGACCTCATTCCACGAGTTCTTGTTGATATAAGATTCATTATTCTTGTTGACACCACAAGGACCCAATTCCTCGAACAACCCAATCAAAGAGTCACTACCTGGTCCACCATTTAACCACAAGGTGATTGGCGCATTTTCAGGGTCATGGCGCGCCTCGAAGAACCAGAAGAAAGTGTGCTCTGTGGGTGAGAGGTCCACATAACCCGCATAAGAGTTGACACCCGGGGTAGTTTCACAAACACCCTCCTTGCCAGGCTCTTTATAGCGAATCGTGACATTATTAGCCGTCTTAATAGTCTTGACATCAGTTGGGTGCTCGGGCAGCTGGCGACGGAAGAAGGCTTCCAAGCTATCATCCGATGGCACCGCGAGTGCCGCTACAGCCGGCAGTAATAGAATCCAGTGGGAGACACGCATAATGGGCTATTCGGGGACCGTTACAAGTACGGGTTATATGGATTACGGGGGCTTGCGGGGATACTTATAGTCCCAGAAGAGGGGAAATAAACTAGTAATCGTATATGATAAGCAGTTCACGCAATGATTATAGGGAAAAGGTCGGTGAAATGTAAACGGGGCATTCGATCTCCGTTGGAGCTCCGGGGGGGGGAAGGTAGCATCGTTTTTAAGAGGGGAAAAGAGTAAAAGCTCCACCTAAAGTTGTTGGAGGCTCATTTATTTGACTGGGAGTTGGGGTGTTGATGGGAAAGATCGACGGCGCTAGATTGTACCTTGGAGACCTGTGTCTCTCTAATCGCAAAAGAACAGGGATCTCAATTGGTGCCAAGAGCTATATAGGCTCCAACGAGACCAGGATTGTCGTCTTTGGCAAAGAAAACTATTATGACGTGCTATATTTGTATGTTTTTTCTTTTCTTTTCTTTCCTCTTTTTTTTTTGAAAAAATATTATACATATCTTTATCCATCGATGTTTTATGGAATGATCATTAATAGCGCCCATATAAACGTGGTGTTGCCTGCACTCCAGGTAATAGGAACAGGCCTCGATCAGCATAGTATAAGGATAAAAGAGCCGATGTACTTTATATGCATCTAGGGCCAGTACTATAGATTGTAGTCACAATAAAGGATGTTTATCTAGTTTGGCTCCATCACTAGCTTGCAGCTGTGGTTTCTAAGTAGGAAGGTTCTTGGATATAAGCCCAAAACAGGCCAGTTGATAGACTTGAAAACGGAGTTGTAGAGTCAACAAACTAAATGCTTATCCTGGCATGTCCAGTGCCAGGTCTTTCTAGAAAAAAAGGGTAGTCCATTCAAAATGAAGATGGGGAGAAGAGAAGGGGAGGAATAACCCGACCAAAGTAAACCATCCAAACCATCCAGATGACTAAGCACATAAAATACCCTGGGAAAGCACCTGAGCATAATATACACATAGTCATACGGTATAACTAGGTAGCTATGTACTAGTTCCGTAGTCATAATGTATCGTAGCGCAGGATTATATATAATTTATATAATTATAATATGGTGTGAGATGTTTCTATTTGAACTCTTACGAGGCCTCAGTTTGGTCACATGATGCGTTGAAGCCTGAGGCACCAAAAGTCCAATCGTATACTACAACATAGGCCATGGGGTTTCAAATGGACTGCTTCTACTAGAGTTGCCGATCTCACTAGAATGGTTGGAATTTCTGCATATCATTTCCTCTTTCTTCTTTCTTCTTTTTTTTCCCCTTTACTTTAACTTTATAGAACTAAAAAAAAAAAAATACTCAAGAGGTCGTAGGTTCTTACCAACTTCCCTAATGTCATCTCTGCCATGTCAGCCACATCATGCATATGTACCCAAGTCTCGTATTATATTCGCCACGTTTCAAACTGCCAATATTTGAAGGCCCTATAGGTAGCCCTAGGAGGGAGAACATAGGGAGAACGTAGGGAGAACGTAGGGTCCCCGGAACTAAAAACGGAAAAGCCATTGATCCGAAATTAAGTGCGGTCTCAGACTCCCCGAACGTCCCAGCCCCGATTGATTGGATTCATTTCCACGATGTATAGATGATCATTGGTTGAATGGGTGTGTCAAGTGGGAATAAGTGGGAATAAGTGGGAATAAGCGGGAATATGCCGAACAAAGACTGCGTTGACCCCTGGCTACACGTAATAACAGCCCCATAATACAAGAAAATAAAATGATTGTAGTCATCTCTCTTTGTTGAAAGGGCCCCCTCCAATGCTCCCTGTTTACATGTAAACCGTGTGTTTCACTGGTGAAACTGTCTCCAGTCTTCCAAGGACATCAGACATCAGACATCAGACATCAGAATATTCAGAGTAAGTCAGATCCACTTCTATTGATTCTCTATCTCTGATCCGATATAAAGTAATACCCTTGCATGATCCCACCAGCCATCTCCAGTCCAGCCCATCTTCACCATGACCAAAAGCCACTTTGGGCTGGTTGCGATTGTGATTTTATAAATGGATAGGGGCAACTATATCAAAGCCTCAAAAATTATTGTCCGATTTGCAACTCAGAAGTTCATATATTTAAAGTGTGCAACCTCGACTTAGACTGTCTCGTATACTCGGGGACATCGACCGTGCACGTGTGCTAGATCATGGATTCTACGGAGACTCCCCTTCACACACCCGAGGATGCTGAAGACGAGCAACCAGTCCAGAAAACATCCACTCCTTACCCATCCCATCCCATTACCCAACTCCAGGGCGCGTTTGAAGAATCAATCGTGGAAACGACCGATGGTTCATTAACTAAATGGGTTGTCGACATTGACGCACAAACCCGGCGGCGCGATCTATTAGAGAATGATGAATACGAGCGGCTTTGTGGCCGAAAGTGGCGTCAAAGGGCCTCTGAAAAGTGAGAAAACTCATACTCCGTCCAGTATGACAAAAGCCAAACTAACCCAACCATCCAGATATCATCCGTTTTGGAAATTGATTTCCCAAATGGTCTTTGGAGTCCACCTCCTATCCAAGAGCCTGGCAAAATCCGAAGTCTCAGTCATGAAGATTCTACAGAAACATGTGAATGAGTTGGATGGCTTTTTGGAAAGGACCACTGAAGACTTTTTGATCGTCCGAATAGACGTTCGCACTCGAATTCAGTATCTCAGGCTACCACTGGGAAATCTCGATGTCTTCGATGAAATGTTGGAAGACCGGAATTTCCGCCTATCGGTTGTCGCCTATAACGATCAGATCGAACATGCCATTGACCGATTCACACTTGCCATCACAGACTCACTCAAGGACCTACAAAAGGCAAAGGAGGCCTTGGGTGCACTGTGGTTCTACTTCCGCAAACTTACAGACGAGGGTTGCTTCAAGTCCGAGAGCCTCAAAGCTTTTCATCAGGCCATGGTAGATAATATGGAGGGCTGGATTGTCGCCCTCTCAAAACTTCGTCGACGGGGCACTGCTCTTCAAAAGGCCCTGGCCCAACTTGGCTTGGCGACTACAGAAATGCAGCGACGGGTGGGGATAGCGAGTCGAAAGGACGTGGTGAGTCCATCGGCCTTGATCTGGTGGGGAGGAAGGGTTCAATCCCAGCGCTAACTATCACAGCGATCGTTTATTAAACAGACTAGCAAGACTGAAAACCGAAGCAAGTCAGTCAAACAAAGACTATTTGATAGAGAACGGCCGACATCAGAAAAACCTCTTCCTCGCGATCCATTATCGAAACCAAAGAGGACATCAACAGCTTCCAAGCGGTTTCAGAGCTCCCCTGCTGCAGTTAGAGATCGAACCGGTATCTCCGCCGACCAACCCATCCCGAGCGATGGCCTTCGGCGCAGGATCATCAGTCGGGCCAAATCATGCAGTGCTCTTATAGCAGAAGCCAGCGCAGGCGCCAGCAACGAACCACCACCTCCCCTTCCATCGACCTCCGGAAGGCTCAAGCGCAAGCTCTCCAAGCCCTTCCTACCAAAACGATCTGCCAGCGAGAAAATCGACTTGGCTCAAGGTCGACCGAAAACAGCACCTTCCCAACCCTCACGACTCTCACGCAACATCTCCATAGAACAACTCCGGGCATTCTGCACCACCCCACGCCCTCGAACCAGACAATCCACAGTCAAATCGGCCACACAAGCGCGACAGGAAGCCCACAACCAACTTACGAATGGCCGAGAAACCATGAAGGAACAGATATCCCAGTTCCTCAAGACGGATCGCGTGGTCGAGGCCTGGGATAACGTATCCAAGAACGCGTGCTGTACAATCCCGATCGCCAAGTCTAAAGAGTGGCCCAGCAGCATCTTCCGAACCAAGTCTTCTACTCTAGAAACCAAGGGCAACGGCAGCGTCTCCGGGCCGGACCTGGACAGGCAAATGTCCTGGGTACAGGGGACCTTCGACGTATTACCTACATATTCATTCAAAGTGAAACCTGACATGTCCCCCCGGATCCATGTTCTATCGGTGCAGATGACCCATGAGGACGCTGACGGGGTAGAGGGGAGAGAGGCGAGTTTGGATTTGAAAGGTGAACTCGGGTCGAGTATCACCGCGTTGCCGGCTGTGCCGCCATCCATTCCACCGGTTAGTTAATAAGATGGATTTTGCATATTCATAGTTGCTGATTTTAGTATACAGATTGCATTGGAACATCGATCTAGATTGATCGACTGTGCATAAGCTTAATTAGTACATCATCACTTGGGATTCAGTAATAATAGAGATATAGAGATATAGAGATATAGAGATATAAAATTATAGACAATTAAACCGAATATGCACAGCCATGTGCGTATTCATTTGATATTTGATATTTAATATAGGAAAATAAGAATATAAGAATATAAGAATATAAGAATACCAACATGATAAGACAACGTATACTCCGTACTCTGCCGAGGCACTCGTCAGCCCTGCGCCCCAACTGCGCCACCCCAGTCTCCCCATTTTTTGATTGGAAATTCTTTCCACTTTGCTTCTTCTTTTTCTTTTTGTTTCTTTCTTTTGTTTTATAAAAACATTCTTCTACTCTTTGTAGTTCCTTTCAAGTATAATTTTTTTTCTTGATTTCTAGTATCAAGTACCAGCACCAACATCACCATACAAATAGGGCGGGCAGACAAGTCACGGTACCTTCCCCCCCGAAACTGCAGCCTAAAGTGCCAAGGACCCACCGCTCTCACATCGTTGACGTCGAACATCTCACATCCTTTGGCGTTACATTCTTCTTTCGGATTTCGGATTCTTCACTCTTTCTTATTTCTTCTCATAATTAGCCATGCCAGTCATATACCCTCGATACTGGTAAGTACTATGTGAACCTGTCAAGAGACATTTCACTAATCCCTCACAGCGCTGGTTACTATGGGAGTGATGACTGCTATTCTACCTGGGACTCTTGGGGTCGCTGGGTAGCGTTCGCAGTGATCGTTGGTGTAGCCTTCCTACTTTTCTTCAGTTTCGCGTGAGTCTTACCTACTCTTCCATGTGATGTCTCTCGATCCTAAGCCTTGTTCTAGATGCTTCAACGCACGCCGCCGCCGAAATCATGGCCAACGCCCTCTCACAGGAACCGGGTGGATGGCTCCTCCCCCGGGTCCTCCTCCACCAAACCAACCCATCTACCAGCAACCTCCCTATGGTGACCCTTACTACCAGCAAAATGCGCCCCCACAATACAGCCCGAACCCTCAGCACCATGGCTACTTTGGTGCGCAAAGCCCACCACCACAGCAGCAAGGCATCGAGTTGCAACAACCTCCAAATGCGTACGGTGCCCACGGATATGCGCCGCCTCCTGGCCCGCCGCCCAATGGCAACAAGGGCTAAACTTTACGCATCTTTCCAAAGCTTAATGACCATGACTTTGAAGGTCTTCCGCTATTGCATGTCTCGATAAATATGCTGGAAGTTAATGGTTTATGGCGTTGTTAACTGCGAAACACGGACTTTTTTTTTTTTGATTTGATCGCATACCCGCATGGGTGGATGTTTTTATTTTATTTTTCTCTTTTACTACTTAATACTTCCTCATGTTCTCCATGTCACATTTAACTGATGTTTAGCTAAAGTTCAAGCATTTGGTCTGCAGCCTGAGATCCCTGAAAGAATGGAACTTGGGGGTTATGAAGTTCTGGGGTTTCCCGTACATTGTTTCTCTCTTAATGATATATATACCTTGAACGACCAAATGGATTTGAATAAACTGATCCTAATTAGAATTACACCATCTTTCAAACTTGACTAGCTCCAATTGATTCAGATTGGGATATCATGTAATTTGTCGCCCGGGTTCAGAACAAAAAGCCCAATTGGCAAATGTTTTGAGATTGAATCCGTTGGACTCGCCTATTTAACAACCCAATTCTCAATTATAAACCAGCCTTGTAGATTCGCGAACATCCACGGGTGTATTTAGATTGATATTTTTGATATAGCGGATGGGGTGCCCCGGGTGCCCCAGGCACCCCATCTCCGCCCTATATCCCGATCCGCCCTGCATTTTCCTCAATGCGACAACCTCCAAATGGATATCGATGACATTCTCGCGTCAGTGGACCGCGGTCCAGGCGCCAGCCTGGAGTCTGCAGCGCTGGACCATCAGCTACTCACGCGCTTTTGGGTAGCCGAACGTGCTGTGTCGGAGGTACTACCATGGCCGGCGCCACTGATGGAGCGCATAATGGACCGCATGCGGATACAGGTATACAGCAGCTACACAACAGTGCCCCCCTAAAAACAGATCGCTAATGCAATCCGACATCTACAGATTGAAACAATCGAAGATCTCGCCGCGTCGTCAGACACCACCCTCCCAACAACCGCCAACACGCACAACCCCAACCTCAACCTCCGCCTCTCAATCCTCCAAACCGACCTCGCCCGCAGCCAATACATAGTGCGCAGTCTTTTACGAGCCCGATTGGCCAAAATAACAAAATACAGCATGCATTACCTAGTTCTGCTCGCCTCGCGCAACAAAAACTCCCTCGCCTCGCAAACACAATCAACCGCCTCCTCACAGAACCCGAACCAGCAGCCCGAGGACTCGGTACCGGATATATCAGGGTTGACAGATCTGGCGCCACTGTCGGAGCCGGAGTCATCTTTCCTGCATGCACACCAGACGCTCCTAGCGGGCCACTACGCGGGGTCGTTTATGGGGGCGTTCCCGCGGCAGCTGAGGCGGCTAGATGATAATGCCGGTGGAACGAGTATGATCCAGGGGCCGGAGTTGCGGGAGGTTGTTTTTGTTCGGTGTCTTGGGGCAGAGGTTCCTGTTGTTGTTGGTGGGGAGGAGGAGCAATATGGGACGGGGGTTACGATGCGGATGGGGGACGTTTGGGTTGTGAGATGGGAAGGGGTGAAGGGGGCTTGGGGGAGAGGGGAGGTAGAATTATTGTGATTTTTTTGGGGGGGTCTTTTTGGACTGGTTTGATATTCGACTTCATCATAGCGGAGTGGCGTTCTTCGGGTGTTTTATGATATATTGTCTTATTTCTATGATCTAGACAGTTGAGAGATGAGAGATACTATGCAAGTCCTGCCAAGGTACCTTCCATTGGCCTGGCTGTCAGTAAACATCGAAACATCAAATCAGATATCAGATATCAGATGGTTTTCTATGAACTTCATTTCAATCCCTTAAAAGACGCCAATCGCTAAGCTCAGAGAAACGCACGAAAAAATAAATAAAAGAATAAAAGAATCACAAACACAAACACCGAGATGCGAGGACATCCCAGATCATAAAATCATAAGAAACCAGAGCAAAGGAGTAGACCAGATGGAAGGCAGCTTGCCGTGATCACTGAGATGGTCTAACTTTATGCGACATACCCGTAGGTGGGCGGCTCTTCAGAGACTCGCTCCAGGTATTCGCGGTCAATCAGACTTTCGATACGTCGCTTGATCATGTTCACATCTGGAACAAAGCGAGCGGAAAGTTGCGAAAGGGTTTCAGTCATTAGTTGAGAATGAGTAAGCGTTTTGCGTTGTCTGCCAGAGGTTAGTTTGTCAAATCATATGAGAGGGATTTATGGAGAAAGAGACATACTTCATAATACGGACGACGGCAGCTTCGATAGTACCGTTGCGTTCGTCATTCATCTTCTTTTCAGTGACCTTGCGTTGATCTTGATTCTCGACCTTGTTCGCACCGCCGCTGACAACCCCAATACGCACTTTCACAAAGGGGCTGTGGAAATCATGGTTGAAAAGGAAGCGGTCGGTGGGCTTTACCTCCTTGCTCATGGGATCCTTCTTCAAAACCCGAGTCTTTGGGGCAACGGCGAGCGATTGTAAGTTGCGGATTAAGTCGTGGTCTTGGATCCGGGTGCGAGTTTTAATTTCGTCATATGTGAGAGCTTCGCCGTCTGCGATGTCGTTGAATAATAGCAGAATCACCATGGCATATGTTGACACGTTGAGTTCATAGCGCTGGGCTTTTCCATTGGAGCGTACGAAAGTGGCCCGAAGATCGCCAGTGCCCATGCTGGCTTGCCACGACAGTTTGCGACCGCTGTGCTTGTCGAGATAAAACCTCTCAAAGCTTTGCTTCAGTGTATCAATCTCCCGTGGGAAAATACAAGGCAACTGGACCGTTCCCTCTTTGCTTGCCATTATTTCCATCGGCCACATAGTACTAGTGAGAACGTTGATCTCTAGGTCCACGGGTTTCTGGTCGGGATCACCATTGCGCGCAATGTGCTCCTTGTAATTGGTGGTAAGATCTTCGGAGATGGTCATGTCCTTGAACATGGACTCAATGCGTTGAGTGAACTGATTGCCGACCTCCAACTTCATTTTGGAAATCATTTGCCTCTCTGCATCCATGCTGACAGAGCGTTTCATCAAAAGACGGCGTGATAGATGTTTCTTATAATAGGTCTCAAATAGATCCTTGTCCTTGATGTAGCGCAGCAGTGTGATCCCGTTATCCAAAAGAATATCTACCTCGCTTTCTGTCTTTCCCTTGATGCCCTTCTTCAAGTTTTCATCAAAAAAGAGAGACAGATACTCCGAATTTCGCGAGTTCATGTTGATGAAGCTGGCGAAGCTAGCCCCAATTGAGCTCTGCATGCCCTGGTCGGAGGCGAAGGCATTCTCCCAAATGTTATCGAATTTCCGCTTCAGGCCGAGAATGTCATCGACCCAGCGGATTGCTGACACTGTCTGCTGATTCTGAGGCTTTTCTTTGTCTTTTCCCTTCTCGGGCTTTTTCTCTTTTTCGCCATATTTCTCTGCCGATGGGGCTGGGGCTTGAGGTAAGAGTATAGACGAAGTATTGATCTCCTTGCCCATTTCCACAATCCGCTTGTTGACCATGTTTGTCAAAGCTTGCTTCTTCTTGTCAACCCTTTTGTTAAGCATGTAAACATTCCGTAGCCCATCCAACTGATCATGGTCTAGCATACGCCGGACACCGGTTCCTTCGAGATTGACGACTTCTTCAATATTGTTCAGGATTAGCTGCTCGTCAAGCAACTCAAGCACCTTCGGCTCTGTCGTGACCGACAACATATAACGGCACCGCTCCTCCTCTTCAGTGATCCGCTGGGTGGCGAGTCGGCAAAACGTGGCAGCATCCCCCA